ACTCTGTCTAAAAAAAAAAAAAAAAAAAATGCCAGCTTCTGAGCTCAAGCAATCCTCCTTCCTAGGCCTCCTAAGTAGCTGGGACTACAGGTGCATACCATCATGGACAGCTGATTTTTTATTTTGTTGAGATGGGGAGGGGTCTTACTTTGTTGCCTAGTCTGGTCTATTTTTTTGGAGACAGAGTCTCAAGCTGTCACCTGGGGGTAGAGTGCAATGGTATCACAGCTCACAGCTGTCTCATACTCCTGGGCCCAAGTGGTTGTCTTAACCTCAGCCTCCCAAGTAGCTGGGACCATGGGCGGCTGCCACAATGTCTGGCCATTTATTTTGTTGTATTTGTCATTGTTGTTCTAGCTGGCCCAGGCCGGGCTCAAACCCACACACTTCCATGTATGTGGCTGGTGTCCTACCCTATGGGCGCCACCCCTAGGCTGATCTTAAACTCTTGTCCTCAAGTGATAGTCTTGCGTTGGCCTGCCAAAGTAGTGTGATTGGCCAGGCATGGTGGCTTATGCTTGTTATCCTACTGGTCTAGGAGGCTAAGGTGGGAGGATCAGTTGAGCTCAGGAGTTAGAGACCAGCCTAAGTGACAGTGAGACCCTCCTCTCTACTAAAAATAGAAAAATTAGCTGACAAGTTGTGGGTGCCTATAGTCCCAGCTACTTGTGAGGGTGAGGTAGAAGAATCACTTGAACCCACTAGTTGGAGGTTGCTGAGAGCTAGGCTGATACCATGGTACTGTATCCTGGGGAAATAGAGTAAACTCTGTGTATAAAAAATAAAAACAAATCAAGGGATATATCCTATCCTATAGTGAAATGAGACCACCTACTTCATTCTGTGCATGAAAAGCAATTCGAGGTTCCTTAAAGACCAAATTAGATGGCAAAACTATAAATTGTTCTGAACTTTATACTGGAGAATCTCTTCTTTACCTCTGTATATCTTTATCAGATCTGGAGTGATTTCTAAATTACTCAAAAGAGCACCACATTTATAAAGGGAAAAAATAAAATTGATAAATTTAACCACATTATGAAATTTTATATAGGCTAGGCACAGTGGCTCACACCTGTAATCCTAGTGGTGGATTACCTGTGAGAGTCTGAAGCGGGTGGATTATTTGAGCTCATGTGTTCAAGACCAACCTGAGCAAAAGAGAGACCCTGTCTCTACTAAAAATAGAAAAACTGAGGCAGGAGGATTGCTTGAGCCTAGCAGTTGGAGGTTGCTCTGAGCTGCACTCTATACAGGGCAATAGATTGAGACTCTGTCTCAAACGAACAAAAAGAAGTTTTATTCATTATAAGACAATATAAATAGGATCACCATGTAAACATATTGGGATTAAATAGTATTTTACATATATGAATTATCTTGAAGAATATCTTGGTATGTTTCTTCATTTATTAAATTTTAACTATCCTTTTTAAATTTCATGATTTTTTTTTTTTTTGAGACAGTCTTACTTTGTCACCCTTGATAAAGTGCTGTGACATCATAGCTCACAGCAACCTCAAACTCCTGGGCTTAAATGATTCTCTTGGCTCAGCCAAGTTGCTGGGACTACCGGCACCCACTATACTGCCTGGCTTTTTTTAGAGACATGGTCTCACTCTGGCTCAGGCTGGTCTCAAACCTTGAGCTCAGGCAATCCTCTTGGACTCCCAAGTGCTGGGATTACAGGCATGAGCCACTGCACCTGGCCCTCATAATTGTTTTTATGTTGAATTCTAAATATTTAGTAATGTTTGATGTTGGTGTCATGGAATTAATTTTGTTTTTTTAAAGACAGAGTCTCACTTTATCACTCAAAGCAACCTCCAGCTCTTGGGCTTTGGTGATTCTCTTGCTTCAGCCTCCCGAGTAGTTGGGACTACAGGTGCTCGCCAAAACACCCAGCTATTTTTTTGTTGCAATTTGGCCGGGGCCAGGTTTGAACCTGCCACCCTTGGTATATGGGGCTGCCGCTCTACTCACTGAGCCATAGGCACTGCCCTGGAATTAATTTTTTGATGATGTTTTCAAGGTATTTATTAATAGAATTTGAAAATCCAGTTGACTTTAAGAAGTTTATTTCTTACCGAAAGAAGAAAATACAGGTACATAAAAGTATTCTGAAATAAATGTTTCTTAAGCACAAATAGATGATCACTTGCATTTTCTTTCTTCTTTTTTTGGTAGATCTAGGTCCAAAGAGAAAACAGATGGTGGGGAAAGTTCTAAAGAGAAGAAAAAAGACAAAGATGACAAGGAAGATGAAAAAGAAAAAGATGCTGGCGTATGTTTGCTAACTTAAAAATAGTCATATAATATCAAACTTGTTTCTGTGGTGACACATTCTTGTTTGTTTTTTAAATGTTATATGCTTTTTTATGTTTTTGCAGTTTTTGTTTTTTGGCTAGTGCCGGGTTTGAAGCTGCCACCTCCAGTGTATGGGGCTGGCACCCTATTCCTTTGAGCCACAGGCACTGCCCCTTTTTTTTTTTCCAAGACAATCTCTCACTGTTTCACCATCAGTAGAGTGCTTTGGCGTCATAGCTCACAGCAACCTTAAACTCTTGGGCTTAAGTGATTCTTCTGCCTTAGCCTCCCAAGTATCTGGGACTACAGGCACCCATCACAATGCCCGGCTATTTTTTGTTGCAGTTGTCGTTGTTTAGCTGGCCCAGGCTGGCTTCGAACTTACCAGCCTGAGTGTATGTGGCTGGCACTGTAACCAGGGTACTACAGGGGTCAAACCTTGAGTTGTGTATCTGTTTTTCTTTTCTTTTTCTTTTTTTTAAGACAGAGACTCAAGGTGTTGCCCTTGGTAGAATGCCTTGGTGTCACAGCTCACAGTAACCTCAAACTCTTGGGCTTAAGTGATTCTCTTGCCTCAGCCTTCCAAGTAGCTAGGAGTACAGGTTCCTGCCACGCTTGTCTATTTTGTTGTTGTTGTTGTACTTGGCAAGGCCTAGGCTGGATTCGAACTTGCCAGCTCTAGTGTATGTGGCTGGCACCCTAGCCACTGAGCTACAAACGTGAGCCAAGTTGTGTATCTTTTTATTTTTTAATTTTTTTTTAGATGGAGTCTCATTATGTTGCCCTCTGTAGAGGGCTATGGCATTACAGGTCACAGCAATCTCAGACTCTTGGGCTTAAGTGATTGTCTTGCCTCAGCCTCCCAACTAGCTGGGACTACAGGTGCCTGCCGCAATGCCGAGTCATTTTTTTTGCTGTTGTAGTTGTCAGCCGGCCCAGGCCCTGTTTGAACCTGCCAATGCCGGCGTATGTGGCCTGGGCCCTAATTGCTGAGCTGCAGGCTCTTAACTTGAGTTGTTTATCTTTATTTTTTAGAGACAGAGACTCACTTTTTTGCCCTTGATAGATTGTTCTGGTGTCACACAGCTCACAGCAACCTCTAACTCCTAGGCTTAAGTGATTCATAGGCAATTCTCTTGCGTTAGCCTCCAAAGTAGCTGGGCCTACAGGCACCTGCAACAATGCCTGGCTATTTTTTGTTGTTGTTGCAGTTTGGTCAGTGCTGGGTTTGAACCTGCCACCCTCAGTATATGGGACCAGCACCCTACCCACTGAGCCACAGGCCCCTCCCAAGTTGTTTATCTTTAATTGAGTGATTTTTTTTTTTTTTTTTTGAGAGGGAGCCTCAAGCTATTGCCATGGGTAGAGTGCCATGGCCACAGCTCATAGCACCTTCCAAATCCTGGGCTTAAGCGATTTTCTTACCTCAGTCTCCCAAATAACTGCGATTAAAGGTGCCCGCCACAATGCTTAGCTATTTTTTGGTTGTAGTTTCATTGTTTGGCAGGCCCATTGCTGGATTCGAATGCACCAGCTCTGGTGGTGTATGTGGCTGGCGCTTTAGCTGCTTGAGCTACGTGCGCCCAACCTTGAGTGAATATTTAAACGTTACCAAAAAACACAGTATAATTTATAGTAACATAATGAAAGAATGTTTTTAATTTCTTTTTTTTTTTTTTTTTTT